CGCCGGCCGCGCCTTGCGGTTCCAGCAGCGCCGCCGCCGCCGCTCTGCATGACGGCGGTTTTCCTCGGGCAAGGAACGCGCCGCCGGCGCCGCTCCCTCGCACGCGCGCGCGTATCCGGCTTTCGTGGCCTCCGCGAATTCGCAGCCGCGCGCTGCCCGGAATCGCCCTACGCCAACTTTTCTCGAACGTTGACCTTGCTTCCCCCGCTCCGGCACAATAAACACATGAACGCAAAAGCGCGCAGCGAGCACTGATGACAACACTCCAAACTCATCTTAACTGGCGCGAAATGGAAACTATTTTCTGTTGAAGACGAAAACTTCTATCAGTTATTTTCTCCAAAAAATCTAAAGAAGTAACCGAAGCACGTGAATATTCATCACAGGAGATACCTCGAACTCCTGAGAAAGTTTATTTTATCGCAAATTATTGAGAACGTCGCGAAGGCATGACTGATTCGCTAGAAAGTGGCTTTGTAAAATCTAGTGGCTGATTTCATTACTAATTCTCGCATTTCTTCAATTTATCGTTCAAGAAAAGTTTCGCGAGTAATAGACGGTGGTGTGTACTTTTAATAGGCGCAACGTCGCCAAACTAGTGGATAATAGGAAGACGTTGCTTACTGCATGGGAAAGTCGCTACTGAAAATAATTAAATTGAATTGGTTTGTTTTTCGAAAATTAAATGTTTCCTCTACATGCATGCTATTTTATCATAATAAAATCGGAAACTTATAAAATATAATACAACATATAAAATCGAAAATTTGAAATAACAGTCGTAACATTTATGTTAAACAATTAACACGTTAATTTAATTGCTTTAAAGAAAAGAGGAATAGCATGTGGGTTTCCAGACTTGATTAGGTAATTTTGTATTTGTCTGTTTAATAAACTAATATTTTAAATCACTGATATGTGATTCATCACCCCCCAATGTTATTTCCATGTGACGCACGAATTCTTCGGAAATCGTCATCCCCGCTTGGGGACCGGATGAGTGGATTCCGACGTGGCCCACGAG